CCCAGGGAAGTTTTAAAACTTGTTTATTTTTATTTTTTTTTTTTTGATAAACTTTTTTCCATGGCAAGTGAAATATTTGATTAGTAATTTGAACTGGTGTCCCAAATAAATTTTGTTGACCTGATTTTAATTGTGAATTTGAGTACTGCCAAGAAAACCCTTTAAAGATATCAATCAAAGGATTCCGGATATTGAGGTTAAATATGTAAAGAAAACATGATTTGGACTTCCAACTCACTTCAACATATCTATATAGTATTAAAGATATCAACATTCCAGATACAGAAGTTTACTGATGACTAGCAGACATTTCTACATCTAGAATAGTTAATGTGTACTAAATTGGATGGCATTCTGACTAGATTGATTGTATGTTGTTTTACGTCCCATTTGAGAATTTTTCACTCATATAGAGATGTCACTATATACTGGTGAATTGCTTCAGATTTAGAACTTTACTTGGCACTCAGGGCCATTGAGCAGTGAGGGATATTTATCGTGCCAACACCTGCTGTGACACAGGGCCTCAGTTTTTAGCTCTTCTGAGCCAAAGGCTCAAAGAGCTAATGCTATGGCCATTTGTGCAGTGTGCATAAACTTGGGCCATATCTCAGAAACCCCTTGATCATTTTTTTTCAGATTTGTCACAGAGTATCCTTGGCCCAAGGGCCATCATTTATATGTGTCCCTTAAAGAAGGGGAGATAATTAGGGAAATATAACAAAAGTAGTGGTTGCTAAAAAATCTTCTTCTCAAGAACCACTGGGCAGATCATCACCAAACTTATATGCAAGGATGAGGATATGTTTTAGATAAAAATTTGCACGGGGAATTGCCCTTGGGCAAAGGGCATGGTCTCAAGGTCACTTCAAAGTTGACCAAAATTTACGTTTTGTTTAATCTTTTATATTTTGCCCACTATAAGGTCTAGGATCATCAAATCTTGTCAGTTAATGCATCTTCGGACCTCATATCATGTTGACTCAAAAGTAGGTCATGGTGACCTATTTTTTGAATTTTGCAGGTATTCATTTTCATTTTAATTTTGATGCATAACTTGTATACTTTGAAGCCTATGATCATCAAAACTTGTCAGTTTATGCATCATGGGACCTTAAAGTATGTCAATCAAAAAGTAGGTCCCCTTGACCTACTTTCTGAATTTTATGGCATATCATTTTCTAAACATTAAAAGTCATTATTTCAGATACTAAGAGGTTTAGAATCATCAAACCTTGTAAGTTGATGCACCTAGGGGCCTTAAGGTATGTCACTCGTGAAATTTGTTATATCAAGGATTTTTTGAGAAGTATATTTTGGATAAGTACTCATATAGTATGACTCAAAATTGCAGAGAAAATGGGGGGTCAGTGTGCATCTAACTGAGCTACGGTACAATTAAGTTGACCTTTTTGCACTTAAATTGTAACACTTTTGTTAATCACTTTAACCGTTATCATATTTTATAAGATGTAGCTATGGCAATAAACATAATCTTATTTTACGTAAAATAGTTTGAATAATATTTATCATTGAACAAATCATGCAAATTAATGCGCGTAAATTATTGTGTGACCTTTTTGCACTAAAAAAGTATCATATTTGGGATATTAAAAATCTAAATTGGCAATAGAATATTTTCTTGTATGAAACTTTTTACGACTTAAGTGCTGATCGGTCAAAAGTATCGAGTAGTTTAAAATAATGAAAGAAAAAGTTGGGGTCAGTGATGTAAATTTTGAATTATTGGTCAAAATATGCGATTTTCAGGCAAAAAACTGTGTAAATTTTATCTCGACTTCCTTAATATATCTTCATTTCTTGGCAATGTTTGTTGAGCGAAGGTGTAAATTTTGTTATAAAAATATAAATTGAGACCTATATTTAATATTTCAGGCATATCATAACGGAAAATATTCTCTGAGTAAAAGTATTTGAGGCTAAGGTTCCAAGATATTAAATTTAATAAATGTGTAGATTTGCAGAATTTTCTGCTAAATATCCTTACGCCACAAGAAATAGTCCCTTATAAATCTTGCTTCTTTGTGAATTTTTGAGCAATTGAATGTTGAACATTTTACATTGTTTAATTTAAATATGTTATAAAGATTGAATTTTAATAAATAGTTTTTAAGTAAGAGGTTCTGACTGAAATTTTCTAAAAGGCTGACGAGTGATATACCTTAAAACAGATTTATCAAAAGTAGGTCACAATGACCTTCTTTTAGTTTTGCAGGTATTCATTTTCAAATTGTTTTAGGGGCATATTTTGGACTTTGAAGCATAGGATCATCAAACTTAGTCAGTTGATGCATCATGAGTCCTTGGAGTGTGAAGTGGGTCACCTTGACTTACTTTTGCAATTTCATGGCTTAATTTAAATATTTCATATACTAAATGGCTTAGAATCATCAAACTTTGTCAGTTGATGCATCTTGAGTCTTTGGAGTGTATCAACCAAAATGTAGGTCACTGTGACCTACTTTCGCAATTTCATGGCTTAATTTGAATGTTTCAGGTACTAATTGGCTTCGAATTATCAAACTTTGTCAGTTGATGCATTTTGGGTACCCAGAGTGTGTCAACCAAAAAGTAGGTCACCTTTCAAAAACACATGTACATAAAAGTAAAAAAAACAGTTTAAACATTGTTCAGTACATGTATCTTTTAAAAATCTTCTTTTCAAGAAGTGGGCCAGAAAAGATGAAACTTAAGTGAAAGCTTCATTGCATACTGTAGATTCAAGTTTGTTTATATCATGACCCCTTGGGGTAGAGTGGGGCCACAACAGGGGATCAAAGTTTTACATACTAGGAATATATGTTAGAAATATCTTTAAAAATCTTCTTTTCAAGAAAATAAAACCATTATTAGTCATATTTATACAGAAGAATCCTCAGGTAGTGTAGATTGAAGTTTCTTCAAATCACGACCCCAGGGGTAGGGAGGGGTCATGAAAGGGGATCAAAGTTATACATTGGATTATATAGGAAATATCTTTAAAAAATCTTCTCAAGAGCAGCAAAGCCACAATTGGTCATGTTATTCATGTTATTAATCACTAATACTAATTTGAAGATTGAAAAATATTCACTGAATATTGTCAAAGATTGTGATTTTATTCAATTCTATTTTACCATTGTAATCATAAAGTAATCATGTTTTTTTTTTTCCAGAGTAATTGATTAAATAACAATTACTTGTAATCAGAAATATGCATGATACTGATTACACATCAAACTGTAATTGATTACAACTGATTACAATTACCCCATCTCTGTTCCCAGGAACAGCAAAGCTTTGATTAATGGCAGTTATACATGTATTTATAAGGAAGCATCTACAGGTAGTGTAGATTCAAATTTGTTCAAATGATGACCCCTTGGAGTAGGGTGGGGCCACAGTTGGCAATCAAAGTTTTACATAGGAATATATATGAAAAATCTTTAAAAGTCTTCTTCTCAAGAACAGCAAAGCCATGATTAATTACATTTATATGGAAGCATCCTCAGGTAGTGTAGATTGAAGTTTGTTCAAATCATGACTCCTTGGGGTGGGGCCATAATATCTGATGAAAATTTTATATAAGAATATATAGGAAAAAGAATCTGCTGATGAAGAACAGAATGGCCATTGTTACTAGGGATGGGTATCGGCAAAAATTTCGCATCGTGATATATCACGATTTTTTCCCAAAAATATCATGATAAATCATGATATTTTTACACACAATTTTTACTAATATTTCAAATGAATTTCCTAAATATTTCTTAAAAATATGCTATAAAAAAACTTCACATTTTAAATTTTTATTCATTTAATATAAAGCATGCTTGGATGCCGTTGTTTAACTGTTTTCAACATTTTTAAACTTTCTGTAATTGTCATTCAATAGTTTGAACAAATAAATGAGTAATTTCCGGAATTTATAGTTATATACCAAATACCGGTTTTTTAGTCTCCGTATCACGATACGTTTCACGCAATAAAAAATCGCAATATACCAGTATACCGATAAAATCGTGCATCCCTAATTGTTACTCAGGTGAGCATTGTGGTCCATGGGCCTCTTGTTATTTATTATTTTTGGCTTTTATTAAAATATTTCTTTTTATAATTAATATAATGACAATTGATTGAATGATTTTGTTTAGATTTTCTGTGTCATTTTAATGCAGTCTGAAAAATCTCCAGACATTTTGACTTATAAAGGAGATGGGTGAAAAAGGTGTGCAGAATGCCTGTATCTTCAGATATATAAAAATCATATTCAATTTGTGTATTTAGTATTTAGAGTGAAGTTCTTATTATGAAAATTCATGAAATTATGATAAACCAAACTTTACTGAGAAAAATTTACTTAGGAAAAGTTATTCTGTTATTAGAAAAAAATAAAATGGTATTTGTGGGGTCTGAACCCTAGCAATAAAAATCCCGAGTATCATTTTCCTTTGAGACTAACATGCTAATAACTACACTACACATCTCCTGATGAATAGTGGCATTTAAATCATGTTTGTTAGATGACCCTTGACTAAATGGTCTTTGCTCCATGTTTTTTAAAACAAAAAAATGTATATTTTTACGCATATTTTAAGGATAAACTTTCAAAAAAATGAAGCAAAATACTCATTCATATCGAAAATTTGTGTTATAGTATGAGAAAGTGATCCCTTTTGCCCTCTTTAGTGTGTGTATGCTATTTCATAGGCAAATAATTTTAATCTTTGTAAGATTTTAGCAATTGTGAAGACTCTACATAAAGTGTACTTTAATGTTAGATGAAATATCGCAGAAAATTTTGATATAATCGAGATTTAATTTTTCACCTTGATATTTGTTGCACTGTAGGCAGTTCACTGGCCTTGTTCACCCATCTTCTAATCATTTAAATTTACTGGTGATGCCTGGTGGATTGGTGCATTTGGGTTACTCTACCATGGACCTCTAGTTCTTGCATATAAAAGAATTAAAACAATTCAAAATTTATTCTTTACCAGTCAGCTGTGATTTCTTCCGTTGCTCAAAAAGTGAGTACTGCATTCACACTGAACTGGCATGTAACCAGGTCCCTAACTGTGGAAGTGGAGATAACTCTGATGAAGAAGAAGGCTGTAAGTAAAACACAGCTACATGTACTCTGGAAGACTGTTATTTTACTGTTTACTTATTCTAAATACAACTGATATTTCTCCTTTTATTATAATGTGGATTTGTTTCATTCCATTAAATGTGTAGCATAGCATGAGTAATTGTGTATAGAACATGTTTTTTTTTTTGGGGGGGGGGGGGGTTATACAAAATTAAAACATATTGGAACATGTATGCTGCATTATTCATTTTTTGGTAATTAAATAGTCTTTCTTACAGTAAGTTTTACAAGGAAATATATAGGGAAAAAAATTTAAAATCTCTTTTGAAATATTGCAGGCCTTGTTAATTTGGAAGCATCCACAGGTAGTGTAGATTTATGTTTGTTCAAATCAGGGCCAGGGTAGGGTGGGGCCCAAGTTTTACATGGGAATGTGTAGGAAAAATCTTCTTTTGAAGAACAGCAGGGCCGTGAGTAATCATATTGATTTGTAAGCATCCTAGGGCAGATTCAGATTTCAAATTGGGGCCCCAGGGTTTGGCTGGAGCCTCATTAGGACATCAAAATTTTACATAGAATCAAACATAAAAAAATCTTTTTGAATCTTCTGAAGAACAGCAGGGCCATAATTAGTCTTATGAATATGGAAGCATCCTCGGGTAATGTTGATTTTAGTTTATTTAAATCAGGACCCCCTTGATGTCTGGTGGGACCACAATTATAAAAAAAAAATTTCCAGAGTTTTACAAGTAAAATGTATCAACAAACATTTTTTTAGGAATTAGGAAGGCCACACATAATCATATTAATGTGCAAAAATTCTTCTGTTGATGGACCCTTGCGTCAAGATGGGCCTAAAAGCAGGAAAAAATCTTTAAAACATTTTCTGTTACAAAACAGCAAGGTCATGCAAGTCATATTGTTATTGAAACAACCCATTATTGTGTGGATTCATGTCCAGTTAAACCTAACCCCTTGAGGATAGATAGGGACCACTTTATGGCAGCAAAATTTTTCATGGAAATAAAGATTTTTTTTTTAAGTCCTCCTTTGAAGAAAGTCCAAGAGGACTCAGGTGAGCATTGTAACCCATGAGCTTCATGTCTCTTGTGATTACACTTAACATTTTGATGTTTACTAGAACTTCAATTAAACTTGCCACAAAACATTCTTGATTGATGAGGATATCTTTTACATACAAAGAAGTTTTACATAAAATTGAATGACATTTTTTAGTATCTTCTCCAATACCACAAATTAAAGTTACAAATTCAAGATTGCTAGGACATGTAGAGTAGTTTTAGATTTGTTTAGACTGCATGGAGCCCCTTGGGAAGGGATGGGCACAAAGAGGGTGTAAAATTTTTCATCATTAAACCCTTTATGACCTACTGGCAAATGATGGCAATGACGGCTATACAAAGCATTCCATAATTTAACATAGATATGTTTAGCAGAGGTCTTTAAAATTTTAAAAAGTAAGGTTTACAGAATGTCAAAGCATTTTCTGTAGTAAAAATGATTCAAATTCAAATTATGTTCCTAAGGACAAGGCTTAGGCCAAAAAGGGTTTAAAATTATGCAAAGAAACAAGTAAGAAATGTCTATGAATTCTTTTTTTATGAGCTGCAAGGTTATCCATTTACCCATAAGCATTCTTATGTGGTATAGAATCAAATTTTGTTCAGACCATTATCTTTTTGGGCAGGGATAAGGCTACAAAAGGTTTTAAGTTTTACATCTAAAATACAAATTGTCAAAAAATATTAAATGCAAGTATATCATAATTTTAGTTTTATTACGAGCATGGTCATCAGGGCAGGGATGGGATCACATGTAAATATGGGGTCAATTATTTACTCTTCAAGGACCTCAGAACTCCAAATCTCATATTTCACTGCAAGCATGCTGTATTATGTAGATTCAAGAGGGTCCATATTTTTACAGGGAAATATATAAGGAAATCTTTTCCTCTTGAAAACAAACAAGTTCGGTTCAGTTTATTGCATACAATGGTTTTGTCTTTAAACCAATTTATTACTCTGTGTCTAATTTCAGACACATATATAAAATACAGACCTCATAATTGTTACATTATCTATTTATAAAAATCTATTTAAGCCTCATGTAATGGAGATTAAGTTGTATAAAATTGCAGTGTTCTTGAATTTCACATAAAATAGTATGTTTAAAAGATTCTACAAAGAATTGATTAAAAGTTGGAGTACAGACCTTGATTTTTAGCTCACCTGAGCTGAAAGCTCAAGTGAGCTTTTCTGATCACGTTTTGTCCGTCGTCTGTCTGTCTGTCCATCTGTCTGTCTGTCAGCAAACTTTTCACATTTTCGACTTATTCTCCAGAACCACGGGGCCAATTTCAACCAAACTTGCCACAAAGTTTCCTTGGGTAAATGGAATTCAGGTTTGTTCAAATGAAGGGCCACGCCCTCTTTCAAGGGGAGATAATTAAGAATTAGTGAAAATTTGGTGGTATCTTTTAAAAATCTTCTCAAGAACCACTGGGCTGAAAAGGTTGAAACTTGTGTGAAACCTTCATTACATAGTGTAGATTCAAGTTTGTTCAAATCATGATCCCCCGGGGTAGGGTGGGGCCCCAATGAGGGATCAAAGTTTTACATAGGAATATATGGGAAAAAATCTTTAAAAATCTTCTTCTCAAGAACAACAAGGCCACAATAAGTCATATTGATATGGAATCATCCTCAAGTAGTGTAGATTCAAGTTTGTTTAAGGCATCCTCCAGTAGTAGGGTGGGGCCATAATGGAGGATCAAAATTTTACTAAAGAACATATATAGGAAATATCTTTAAAAATCTTATTCTCAAGAACAACAAAGCCCTCTCCCCCTCTCCCCCCGGGTAGGGTGGCAGACATCTTTAAAACTCTGTTTTCAAGAACAACAAAGCCATGATTAGTTATATGAATATAGAAGCATCCTCAGAAAGTTTAGATTCAATTTCATTCAAAACATGGCACCTGGGGGTCAAAGCTTTACATATGAATATATAGGAGAAGAAATCTGCTGACGAAGAACAGCAGGACCATATTGACTCAGGTGAGCGTTGTGGCCCATGGGCCTCTTGTTTTATTATAGTAACAGTTCTACCATATAAAGGAGTTATTATATACATGTATTCCCTAAAACTGTTGCAGTTTTGAAGACAAAAATCAAGATAATTTAATGTGTATAAAACCTGCATTTGCCTCTATAAATGCAGAATTACTCATAGAATTATATGAAAAGTCTAGATTAAAATCTATACTACATACATGCTACTATACAACACCATGCCTCCACTCAGCAAATCTTATAAAGCCATCATTTGTTCAAAACATTGGATCAAAACTTGTATATATTTTTATTAGGTCCAACGCCTTTCCCCAAAAGAGGGGAATCCTCAGCAGGTATCAGTATAGATTTAGTGCAGAGTGATTTATCATGTTTTCCAAGTTATATTTTGTTTGATGAATTCAGTACTTAGCATAATATTGATTGCTTTGTTCTACTAACACACTCTGACTTGAAGTTTGACATGTATACAAAGATTGACCATAGAGCTGAATTAATTTTAAATTTTGCCAAAAAAAGTAATTAAAATACTTGAATACATTTTTATGAGCAAATTAAACTTTACCAATTAAGGCACTAAGCAAAATTAAAAAGAGCAAAAATCAACATTCTGAACTTATAAGGATCCAAAGATGTCACAAGACATCGTCTATCATTGTAAGTATTCATATGTGATCCCCTCTGAATGCTTTTGTTTCTGTAGGTTACCTGAGATTTAGAAGCTTGAATGAGCTTTATTTATGAAAGATGCATCCTCTCTGTCTCTCCTCAAACATTTATTTCACATTTTATCTCTTCTGAGCTGAAGGTTCAAAGAGCTTATGCTATGGTCTGGTGTGCAGTGGGTGTTAACTTTTTGAAATGTGGGGCATATCTCAAGATACCCTTGGCCAATTTTTATCAAACTTTGTTACAAAGTATCCTTGGCCCAAGGGCTTTTATGTATACTAATTATAGGGATGTGACCCTTAAACAAGAGAAGATAATTGGGAAAATATTTTTTTAAATAGTAGTGGTTGCTAAAAAAATCTTCTCATGAACCACTGGGCGGATAGTGATTATCACCAAATCAAACACATAAGGATAAGGACCATTGTAGAGTAACAATTATTCAAAGCATTATCTTTGGGCAAGGGCATGGTCTAACTGTCTCAAGGTCACATCAAAATTGACTTAAAATGATATTTTTTGCACAGTATGAGGGCTAGGATCCCCAAATCTCGTTAGCTGAGGCATCTTTGGATCTCTTGGTAAAATTGACTCAAAAAATTGACTAAAGAAAGGAGGTCACAGTCCGCTACTTTTTAAATTTTGTAGGTATTCATTTTCAAATTGCTTTTGATGCACATCTTGGACACTTTAAAGCTTACGATCATCAAAAGTTGTAAATTGATGCATCATGAGGTCGTGGAATGTGTCAACCAAAAAGTAGGTCACTATGATCTCTTTTCCACATTTTTGTGGCTAATCATTTTCAGAACATTTTAGTTTATTGTTTTAGATAATAAGAGTTAAGATTCATCAAACCTTTGTCGATTAATGCATCTTGGGGGCCCAGGATATTTCAAGTAAAAAGTAGGTCACAGTGACCTACTTTCTGACTTATACAACTTATCACTTCAACATGTTAAACCTTTAAATTGTGATAACTATGACCTTTGGGATTTACAAACCTTAACAGTTGATGCATCTTAAGGCCCCAGAATGTGTTAATAGAAAAGTAGGTTACAGTGACCTAACTTTTAAATTTACACTATTCATAGTGAATTCTTTTTAGTTTTAAGAGGCCTAGGATCATCAAACCTTGTCAGAAGATGCATCTTGGGGCAATGCGATATATTTATAAATCTAAAAGAAGATGAAGAAGTTGGATACTGCTAAACCTAGAATGACCAAACCTTGTTAGTTGATGAAATATGGAGATAACGAACAGTATTCAAGCTCAATGTACATTAAAACAATACAAATCGGGAGCAGAGCAAACACAGACCTCCAATAACATCAGAGGTGGGATCAGGTGCCATAAAGGAGTGAGCATCCCCTGCCAACCGGTCACCAACCGTGTGTGTCCTTGTCATGATCAGGAAAAATCTGTAGACACTTCAGTGTGTAAATAACGGCCTAACAATTAGAATAAACTAGAAATATGTCCATAGGACATGAATGCCCCGCCAAGGGTATATTAGTAATGCAACATTTTAACACAAATTGAGAAAAGTGAGGTCAAGGTCAAAGGAAAGGTCAAGGTCAAAAAATATTGCTGCAGTTGAATAGCTTACATCAGTATGTATCAGCATATGACGTTTGATTCAGAAACTAATTTAAGAAAAGTGAGGTCAAGATCAAAGGAAAGGTCAAGATCAAAAAATGTTGATGTAGTTGAAAAGGTTACATCAGTATGTATTAGCATATGAAGTTTGATGAAAATATTATGAATGGTTTCTTTAAAACTGAGCTAAACACTAATTTAAGAAAAGTGAGGTCAAGGTCAAAGGAAAGGTCAAGGTCAAAAAATATTGATGCAGTTGAATAGCTCTCATCAGTATGTATCAGCATATGAAGTTTGACACTAATTTAAGAAAAGTGAGGTCAAGGTCAAAGGAAAGGTCAAGGTCAAAAAACGTTGATGCAGTTGAAAAGGTTACATCAGTATGTATTAGCATATGAAGTTTGATGAAAATATTATGAATGGTTTCTTTAAAACTGAGCTAAACACTAATTTAAGAAAAGTGGGGTCAAGGTCAAAGGAAAGGTCAAGGTCAAAAAATATTGATGCAGATGAATAGCTCTCATCAGTATGTATCAGCATATGAAGTTTGATAACACTATCTTGAATGGTATCTTTAAAACTGAGCTAAAAACTTATTTAAGAAAAGTGAGGTCAAGGTCAAAGGAAAGGTCAAAGTAAAAAATATTGATGCAGTTGAATAGCTCTCATCAGTATGTATCAGCATATTAAGTTTGTTAAAAATATTTTGAATGGTTTCATTAAAACAGAGCTAAACATTAATTTAAGAAAAGTGCGGTCAAGGTCAAAATAAAGGTCAAGGTCAAAAAAATGTTGATGCAATTGAATAGCTTACATCAGTATGTATCAACATATGAAGTTTGATTACACTATCTTGAATGGTATCTTTAAAACTGAGCTAAACACTAATTTAAGAAAAGTGAGGTCAAGGTCAAAGGAAAGGTCAAGGTCAAAAAATGTTGATGCAGTTGCATAGCCCTCATCAATATCTATCAGCATATGAAGTTTGATAAAAATATCTTGGATAGTTTCTTTGAAACTGAGCTTTGAACAGAGCTAAACGCAAAGTGTGACAGAAGGACAGAAGGACGGAAGACGGACATGACAAACACTATATGCCCCGGCCATATTCATGGCGGGGCATAAAAAGTCAGCATTTGACTTAAAGATAGGTTGTATTTGCTGACAAGGTCATTGTATCGACCATAAAACTTGTGAAATGAAGACTTCAAGCAAAATTGATATCCCTGTTTCATCAATAGCTTGCCTCAATTTCGAAATTGTTCATATGTCGAGCATGCTCTTGCATATTGCATCAACTACATAAGTAAGGGAAGTTGACAATTGAAAAATTGAAGTCATTATGTTTATCATAAATCTTTGTTGTAAGGTAACCATTAATGTCTTTTTCTAGTAAAATATCCAAATATTTAACAGATGTATCAGACTCTGTGGTATCTTTTATTTCAAGCTCACTGGGATATATTGAGTCAACATATGAATGGAAGTAACTATTGTTAATTGGTATTACATAGTCCATATATCTAAATGTTGAGTTGAAGGCCACAGCAAGTGTTTTCTTGATGCATCTCAGGGCTTCAGAGTGTCTGATTACATTTTATCAGTGACCTTCTTTATGAAAATTATGGTTATCCCCCTTTGCTTTGCTGCTGTCTGTCGGTCTGTCTGTCTGTCGGTCCATAAACAGTTTCTGTTCATTTTCTTTGCAGAGGTTGCAGATACTGAAATGAAATTTAATATACAGATTTATCATAAGAATGTCTAGATCAAGTTCTGTTTTGGGTACAATCGAGCAATTTTTGACAGAGTTATGCCCTTTGGACTTTGAAAAATTCCAATTATTTGAGGCTTCCCTTCATTTTCTTCGCAGAGGTTGCACATACTAAAATGAAATTTGATATACAGATTTATCATAAAAATATCTAGGTCAAGTTCTGTTTTGGGTATGCTTGAGCAATTTTGTGAGTTATGCCCCTTGGGCCTAGAGAAAAATTCCAATTATTTTTTTTGGGGGGGGGGGGTGTCATTATTTTGGATACAGAGAGGATAAGAGTCATCAAACCTTGTCAGTTGATGCATGCCTCAGCATGCATGTGACAATTATCAAGAAGCTTAAGGGCCTTAATGGTCACCTGAGTATAGTGTAACACTATAAATGAATGATTCCATAGATTGAATATAATAAAATAAAACCAAAGAAGCTGATAAATGAAACTTTGTTGCCCAAAACAATAGAAATGGGATAATCAGGGATCACTTGCCTTTATTTGCTCCCATTTTTCACTATCCCTATGCAGCCTAAACGAGACAATAGTCCTTACCTATTTAATATCAACTCCAGAGTTCTTGTGTGTAAGATCAGAATGTTTTTTAGCAAAATAATTTTGCAAATAACTTATGACAAGGTTTGTAAATTTGCTAGTTACATTTTTATTCAAGAAGTACCTGTCAAAAAGCCTGGACTTTAATTTATCATGGGAAATGGAAATGGTTGTATATAGAGTTGAAAAGTCATAAGTTTTGATGTTATTATTTTGGTAAAATTTTGCGATTTCAAATTTTCCAAAAGTTCCCTGGAATTTTTAAGAATCCATATCTGATGTACACCACTTCTCGAATATATTGTTGCACAGTACTGAAGTTTCTCCTTCACTGCTGTTAATATTTAAGTGAGGAGTAAAGAAAGATTTGGTAGAAACTTTTCTGGAACCCGCTATGTATCTCTGTAAGAATTTTTATGAAGTTTTAGAATCCAATATACATGTAGATATGGTAATTAAAATTCATTTTTGTTGTTGGGAATATTAAAAACATTTTAAACTGACATGTGATTTGGAAAAATTTCCTCCAAAGAAAGGGAGCTATGGGTATAAGTTGGATTACCACTTGCTGAATTAAATACAATTCAAATAACGAGCCTTACAAACAAAGATGATATTGTTACCTGCTTTGTCAGCTGGGACCAGTACATACTGATCGGGTAATCTATCTAATTTTTTTTTTCACTTCTGCATTATTGAACACAGAAGGATAGATGGTTTTCATATTGCCCCTCAATCACTTAATGCAAGATTTTAACATTCATCTGATACACTATCATTTTCTTGATAGAGAATCTTGATAAACGTAAATCTCGATCGCGATCTTAAAAATGGACGTTGCCAGCCCAAATTTTCTCAGTTGCAAAAATGTGAGTTAGTTTCAATTTTTTGGTCGACCATTTTATTTGCAACTTGGAACACTGTGTCACAATGGTTTTTACATGAACATGATGAATGAAAAATAATGTGGATTCATATATAAAAAGTGTAAAACATTGATAGTTTGATAAAAAGAAATTCCCATGATTTGTGGTGAATATGATTTTTATCCAACAAGTTGTGTGCTTTTTATCCCCTCGCCAAGGCTCAGGAATGAAAAACACAACTCACTGAATAAAAAAATCATACCACAGATCATTGGAGATTCTATATATATGCCATGGATCTTTAGAGAATAGATTGTATGTCTCAAAAGCCTAATAATGAGTTTCAACTCTATCACTTCTGTAAAAAGTTTGTAGTTTTCTGTATCTCTTACAAAAACTTAAGCTTAAAAGCTTACATTTCAAAAGAAAATGTCCTCTGTTAATAGGACCTAGGTTAAGTAAAGCTATTTACCTATTAATTAATTATTATACCCCTGCTCCAAGGAGAGGGAGGTATGCTGTTTTACCCTTGTGTGTCTGTCTGTCCGTAACAAATTTTTCGTCACAGTTTTCTCAGCAACTACTGACTGCAGATGCTTGAAATTTTAGCACGTTCTTTGTTTAGTCATGCCATATGGTGGGATGAAATTTTGTATGAATCCAATGTCAATTTCCTGTTTATCCATGCGTCTGTCCATAACGCATGTATGAATCCGATGTCAATTTCCTGTTTATCCATGCGTCTGTCCAAAACTGAACTTGTGTACATTCACATCAAAGCGGGGGTATTACTAGTGAGCATTGGCTCACAGACTTCGTGTTCTTTTTCGAGTCCAATATCAATATAGTAAGTTTTATATTCTATCGTGGTTACTGTTATTTTTCTCCTGATTTATTAGATTTATAATGTCAGCATAGAAACATATAAATGTACAAAAATGTTCAAATTCAGCCTTCCAATCATATCTCATTGGTATTAGTCATGCTATGATATTCACAATCAGTGTTTCATATGTTTTAAGTTTTATCTGTATGTGTTGGATCATAAATAAAAAAAAATCTTAAATTTTGGAACAAAATGTGAACTTTTAATATTGCAGATATACATGTATGATAAAAATTCACTGAAAATCTTGAGGCTAATAGAATGGTACATATTGATGTAATATATACTTACGAATATCCAAGTATTGCTTGTTATAAGATATTTGTTCCCTGTACATTTTTGTTTCATTCTTTGACATTAAAAAAAAAGTGGAAAACAGAGGACATGACAAAGTGACTAAATAAACAATAACTCCAGATCCTCAAATTATGCCTTTAGATGTAGCTTTTCTGATATATATATATATATATATATATATATATATATATATATATATATATATATATATATATATATATATATATATATATATATATATATTTGTACCATCTTTATTTCAATTATTGAAACTTTTTCATTTTTAGCATTTATATTAGGGATGTCAATTTTGTCAATAATTCATATTCGAATATTCGATGGAAGTATTCGAATATATTCAAATATTCGATAAAATAAATAAATCTGATAAATTATGAAAGGTTTAGCGTAGGTATTCTTATACTGGAAGTAAAATTGTGTGCAGGTGTACAATAAGGAATTCCATTTGATATTTGTCAATGTTTGAAATAAATAATTGATTTCAATGTAGAAAAATATGATTTTAACAAATTTAATAATTTAATAAATTATAGTAGCTCCAACTTAGGAACTAGTCTTCTTACCAAAGGCAGGATAGTCGTATATATACTGTTTCGATTTCAATACGTGTAATCAATTACAATTATCAGCGTAATAAGAGATATGATTATAATCTTTGAAAGAATATTTTTAAAATATAAACAAAAATATTTCCATGGACATTTTTCCTAGGCAATTAATTAATTTACCGATAATGAATATAAAATTCAGAATTATGTACAATCCGAGATACTCAAGTAATATACACATTTATTCTAAAATTAAGCCCTTTACGATATTACATGTAATTACTGACGAATTCTATCAGACACTCATTCAATGATCAATTGAATATATTTTGATAAGTATACTCTTAACGTCTTTTAGACATTCCAAGAAGGTTTTCATTTAATCAAAATTTATTAATCACAGTACTTCTTTTTATGAAATCTGTAAAACACCGAATATTCGAATCTTAAATTTATATTCGAATATCAACTCATCGAATGAATATTCGAATGTTCGAATATTCGTTGACATCCCTAATTTATATATACAACTCACCTTGATAATGCCTCAGGTGTATTTTCTGTATCGTGTATTCTGACAAAAAAATATAAAGCAAATAAAATGGTACATGCACAAGTTATGGAACCTTATGAGTGAAAAATTCTCGAGAGGGACGTTAAACAACATACAATCAATCAATCTTTTTGTCCCTGGGATTGCAATAGCTAAATTTCTTCAAAACTATAGTGTACTTAAATTTTACTAAGCTTATCCCTTATAATCTAATATTTTTAGAACAAATGGCATTTTGATATGTGGAGTTTAAAATTAATATAGCCATAATAAACATCACCCGAAGAAAAAAACAAAACAAAAATAACAAATGCATATGTTTATTAAGGTGCATGTCTTTAATGAGTTTGAGGGGGAAAAAAAGATTTCAAAGAATTACAAGTTGGGAATGATGAAATATATAGCAGCAATACCAGGGAGAAACTTTATTAGGCTGCTAAATAAAAATCATATTTAGCAGCAATATCAGGGAGACACATTATAAGGCTACAAAATAAAATTTATATTATATCAGTATTCACACTGAGCAAAATGTCAATGCGTAAATATGTGTTGTTTCTGTCAATTTGGAATGTACTAGTACATTTTGGTCGAGGTGAGTGTATATAATTGTGTGCTTTTTGTTTGAAACAATCCATAGTTGAGTTGTTTTTTTTACAGTTTTATAAATAATAGCGTTTTGAAATTTGTCTTTTTAAATACTATAGTACTAGAATGTTGAATCAATGATAAATGAATTCAAACTAAATTAAATAATACTTTTTCTTTTTGATTTATTTATTTTTTTATTTTTTTCCCCAGGTCCAACTGTATCAAAATTTGACATTTTACACATAGCCATTGGAGCCTCGATATCATCATTTTTCTGTATTGTGTTGGTGATCTGTGGACTTTATCACAGACGAAGACTCACTCCAGAACAAATGCGACGAAGGCGTTGTGAGACTCCGCCGGAACAGGACACTGTGGAGGTTCGTTATGTGGCGGCAGATTCTTCCTGTAACACAACAGACCGCCTACTGCAGTTGGAACATGTGGCACTGAACGGAGAGAATGGCAAGACTTCAGTTTCACATTCATTTCATTCACCCAGTGAAAGCAAAAAGCATTTAGCTGGTTCTCCAGTGACAACACCTAGTGCCACTCCACCTCCCTTCAAAGTTAATAAACCCCACATTGGAGGTGATCAGGATATTAAGACAGTGGACTCTGCTGTGAATCACAAACCCCGTATTCCCCAGATACAGAAAGTTTCCATAGTATAGAACTCCCTCAGGATCTCATTAAAAGAGTAGATCTCTACTGACCTACAGTGTGTTCAGTTTACATAGAAAGCATTGTCATATCATTTTCATATGTATTCACAAGTATGCTTGTGCTGTTTTGCATGTATGTTGAATAGAAATTGAACAGTGATTTAGATGTGAATTCATACCACTTATTTTTGATTTGTATGTAAAATACCAATGTGACTTGTGAAAATGAATTAAGTTGGAATGCAGATACATTACAAAAAGTGTGATATGGTTCCTAGGGGTATGAGTATTTGATTTGTCAGAATACCTAGGCCAATTATAATATTCAGAAGAATTTTTTTTATTTGTTAGATGTGTCAATATTCTGAAGATTGCATTTAGTGGCAAAGATATAAAATGTTTGCAAATGCAACCACACTTTTATTCATGTTACTTCATTCATTGAAAATGTGTTCTGGATGCAGGGAAATACTTTAAAGGAGACACTGATTTTCCCAGCTCTCAAACATTAAAGAAAATGTGTCTTTATAGACTTCCCCATAGATTTAAACAGCGCATTGCCAAAGCTTTATTTTAATTAAATGAGATTATTGCAACCATTCATTTCTTCAAAAATATTAAATTCATAAAAGAAATGGCAGCAGAATTTCAAATAACATGTACACAAGAGTTTCTATATATTCCCTGCAGTTTTACTAAAGGTCAGCAGAAGATTTGTGATTAGGATTTAAATTTATGCAATGATGAAAATTGCACTAAATAGCAAATTAACCCTTCAGAAATTTCCAACAAAAATGAAAGCTTTCCATGCACAAAACAGAAATTAAATATTTGGAGATGGAACATTTTTTTTAAATGTTCCAAAATACCTTTTAGGCAAAGGCTTAGGCGAGTTTTCTAATTGCATTTGTCCGTCATTATTCTGCATCTGTTAAGATCATTTTTCATTTTAATTTGACAAGTATTAACCAAAATTGGCTCAAAGATTATTCTGCATAGTTATTGGTCATATAGAGAGATTATTCTGGTGAGCATTGTGGTCAATAGCCTGTTGTTTTGAAATGGTGTCACAAAATTATTGACTTGGCTTTATACATGTATGTTTATTTCATGAGAAAAAATTAAAATTGTGTTCTAATGTTTAAAAATACACAAAAGCAAGATGTTTGATCAAAACAAAAAAAAAACTATAGTCAAAAATTTCAATTTATTAGGCATTGCTCATCTTACCCACAAGCTGTAATGCAGTATCGTCTACCGTGGCGGTGCATTTGATATTTTTTCCCCTAAGGGGGGCCTTAAATGAAAAGGAGGTAGTAAAAGGTAAATCTAGAGTAAGGTCAATTAAAGTTTTTCTCAAGAGCCACTGGACCAGGAAAGACAGAATTTACATGAGAGCCTGCATACATAATTTTGAAAAGCATCCCTCTTTCTTGCGGGCCTGGAATGGGGCCATTGTAGTGGGATCGAATATCTTGGAATAACTTGAAAAATCTCAGTAATGTTAAATCAAGGTTTCGTGGGGAAAAAGTTTGACTCAATTCTGTTGTTCACAAAATATTAAAAAAAATATAAATGACAAAAGATAGGGAGTATGTTGACAAAAAAGTGTGCATGATTGGGATGATTGTTAAGGCCAATGCACTTTTCTTAACGTAATTAATGTAACATTTTGAAGTTTGATAACCATTGTTATAATGTTATATTTTAAAGAGGTGATTTATAATGAAAATTTGAAGTATTAAAAATCATAGTGTTTTGATATTACTGAGTATTTGTATCTTAATATAAACAAGATAGTTGTGTTTTTAATTAGTTTATATTGTAAGAATCATACAGTACTAATGAACTTAAATTTGAACAAGATGAAAAGATTGTTCAATGAACAATACCATGCAAATAAGAGGAACAAGAACTCCGAATAGTTTCTTTTGCCACTTGTAAGATGCAGTGTTCTTCAGATATAATTAGAAAAGAATTTACAGATGTCAAAACTGAAAAATTATGAAGAAAAAAGAGAAATGTTCTATCTTAAACATGTTAAATCGTGTCCTGTAACTGTTAGGTACAGAACTTGAAATCCGTTTGTGACTTTTAATATTCTCGACCTGTTTGAAAAGTTGGAAGATTTCTGTCATGACTTTTTTTTACTAAACGTCATATCCTGTCGGTGGTCTAGGGGTATGATTCGTGCTTAGCAAATGAGAGGTCTCGGGTTCAAATCCCGGAAGATCCCGTATTTTTTTTTTTAGCTCACCTGAGCTGAAGGCTCAAGTGAGCTTTTCTGATCACTTTTTGTCCGTCGTCCGTCTGTCCGTCCGTCCGTCTGTCTGTCTGTCCGTCTGTAAACTTTTCACATTTTCGACTTCTTCTCAAGAACCACTGGGCCAAATTCAACCAAACTTGCCACAAAGTATCCTTGGGTGAAGGGGATTCAAGTTTGTTCAAATGAAGGGCCACGTCCTCTTTCAAGGGGAGATAATTAGGAATTAGTGAAAAAACAATGGCATCATTTAAAAATCTTCTCAAGAACCACTGGGCCAGGAAAGATGAAACTTATGTGGAAACATCCTCAGGTGGTGTAGATTCAAGTTTGTTCAAATCATGACCCCCAGTGGTAGGGTGGGGCCATAATGTGGGATCAAAGTTCTACATAGATATGTATAGGAAAATATCTTTAAAAATCTTCTTCTTAAGAACAGCAAAGCCATGATTGATCATATTTATATGGAAGCATCCTCAGGTGGTGTAGATTCAAGTTTGTTCAAATCATGACCCCCCGGGGTAGGGTGGGGCCACAATGGGGGAACAAAGTTTGACATAGAAATATATAGGAAAATATCTTTAAAAATCTTCTTAAGAACATTAAAGCCATGATGAGTCATATTTATATGTAAGCATCCTCAGGTAGTGTAGATTCAAGTTTGTTCAAGTCATGACACCCCCCCCCCTCCCCCCTGGGGATAGTATTGGGCCACAATGGGGTTCAAAGTTTTTCATAAGAGTATATAGGAAAAACTTTAAAAATCTTCCTCTCAAGATCAGCAAAGCCATGACTGGTCATATTTATATGGAAGCATCCTAAGGTAGTGTAGATTCAAGTTTGTTCAAATCATGACCCCCAGGGGTAGGGTGGGGCCACAATGGGAATCATAATTTTACATAGAAATATATAGGAAAATATCTTTAAAAATCTTCTTCTTAAGAACAGCAAAGCCATGACTGGTCATATTTATATGGAAGCATCCTAAGGTAGTGTAGATTCAAGTTTGTTCAAATCATGACCCCCAGGGGTAGGGTGGGGCCACAATGGGAATCATAATTTTACATAGAAATATATAGGAAAATATCTTTAAAAATCTTCTTCTTAAGAACATTAAAGCCATGATGAGTCATATTTATATGTAAGCATCCTCAGGTAGTGTAGATTCAAGTTTGTTCGAGTCATGACACCCCCCTCTCCCCCCTGGGGATAGTATTGGGCCACAATGGGGGATCAAAGTTTTTCATAAGAGTATATAGGAAAAACTTTAAAAATCTTCCTCTCAAGATCAGCAAAGCCATGACTGGTCATATTTATATGGAAGCATTATCAGGTAGTGTAGATTCAAGTTTGTTCAAATCAGGGCCCCTGGGGGTAGGGTGGGCCACAATGGAGGATCAAATTTTTACAAATGAATGTATGGGAAAAAATCTTCTACTCAAGAACAGCAAAGCCATTTGTTTTATTGATATGAAAACATCATCAGGTAGTTTAAAATCTCCCGCGTTAACTTTTCAATACTGAACTGATTTTTGCTTTTTTCTCCTAGCCAATGTGCTCAGGTGAGCGATGTGGCCCATGGGCCTCTTGTTTTTAATAAGTTTTTTTTTTTCGATTTACTAAATGATAGTATTCAACATATGAAAAGAAGAAGTTATGACGTCTGGCGTGTGCAAGCTTCTCATAAAATCATTATTACAGTGTAATAAATATTTTTTATAAAAAGAATCTTCTGTACCCATATTAAAGAATAATCAATGAAATCTATATATCCATATTGGCTTTTTTTTTTTTTTTTTTTTTTTTTTTGCTTCAGCATGGCCGTAGGAACCGGGGGGCACGGGGGGGCCTTGCCCCCCCCCCCCCAATAATATATAGATTACTATAGTATACTCAGATACTTTAGGCTTGTGCACCCTCAATAAAACGTCTGATGACCTTTCTTTTTTTTTCTTTTTTTTGCTTGTCAAAGAAGTTTTGGTAGTTGATGACTTTTTTTTTTTGCTTGTCGGGAAATTTTGGTAGTGCCCCCTCAGCTGAAAATGTATGGCTGTGCCCCCCAAACTGAAATTGCTTCCTACGGGCCTGTTCAGTATACATGTATATCGCATGCAGGCCGAATGGTCGCCTCATTAAAGGAATACAAGGACTGTTCTTTGACTACACTAGACAAAATTGCTAACGCACCACTTATTATATTTATTTGTGAATTGATCATTTTCCCGATTGGTACTAGTATATAAAATATGCCATCTTTTTCAAAACAGTTGGATTGACAAATGTCTTGGTGTCATGTCAAAGGACCTTCTTGTCCGAAAACCAATTTCCCGACGTGCACTGCGCACTGTTTTTGCCAAGATATGAAGTTGGTGATTACCGATGGTGGTCCGTGACGTTGCGACGGGAGCAGTCTCCCACTTAAAAATCAAATGCTATACCCTGATTGACTACCATATCGCTTAGTAGTCATTCAGTGCCTTGGTGTCCCTACCAAATCCACCCAACTTCCGGTTGCCCCAATTTTGTGGAACAATCTTGAAATTATTGTGTAGTGCTCACTTAATGCAGTCGATATCTGTTGAAAACATTTTTATGATCGTTAATTCATTTTCAACAATTTATCACCAGAGAAATTCATAATCATTTAATTCTTTTAATTTTTCACAAATTTCTTCAAAGGAACCCCCTGTAGACACCATACTGGCTGCCTTAGCACGCTCTTCTAGAGTCCAACGCCGCATACGGTGTAACTTTTTTTCTGAGTTTTTAATTAGTACAAACATAAAGAACACAACCACAAAGAAAAAATTAGAAATTTATTCCACCAAAGAAGTATGGATATGATTTTAATTTTTTCTATGAAGTGGTTACGCTTCAGTAAACATTGTTGTTATTTATCAGTTAAAGCATTTAAATGTCTCATTTTTTTATTAAAGTAACATAATTATATATCAAAAACATCATAAAAAAGTTTTGAAAAGAAAAATGTTTAGGTGGTGCGTTAGCAATTTTGTCTAGTGTATATTACATTTATTGGCTTTGCAGGCCCGTAGGAAGCAATTTCACTTTGAGGGGGCACAACATTTTTCAGTTGGGGGGGAGGGGGGGCACTATCAACTACCAAAATTCCTTGACAAGCAAAAAAAAAAACAAAAACAAAAAAAATGGTCATCAGACGTTATTATTGAGGGGGCACAAAAACATAGTAGCTGTATTTTCTATAGTATTCTATATATCGGTAAAATTATTGGGGGGGGGGGGGGCACGGCCCCCCGGTTCCTACGGCCATGCTTTGTACAAAATTTAAAATTTCAAGATGGTTCGCTGTTTGGGCTGAATGGCTTCCTGGACCATATGGGATCTACAAAATTATTGTAAATTACATACATTATAACATTCGTATCTAAAATATACTAACTGGATTCGTGCTCGTGCATATCATAACATTTACTGTATACTTTACATTTTACTGCATACTGCATGTTACTGCATACTGCATATACTAAAGCATTTTACTGCATACTGCATTTTACTGCATATACTCTAGCATTTTACTGTATACTTCACACAGTATACGAAATATTTGCTTACTATACACACGTACTTTACACCATACTTTGTAGCTACTACATACTTTAATATACTTGTATACTATTAGAATAATACTTGAAATGATATCAATGCACAAATTACTCAATCAAATAATTTACATCAAAATTAAGAACTAAGGTCCTTGGCCATTTCAGGAAACTGTATAAGATAAAACCTTTAAATTAATAAAACAAACTTACCTCAGAAGAGATGTGAAATCTGGTGAAACCTTTATGAAGAATACTATTGTCAATACTCGAGCAAGTCAAGTGCGTCTGCTCTACTCAATTGCTACACCCAAACTGACTACAAAACGGCACGGGATTTAAACCCGCCAGGTAAATTCTACTAAACAAATAAAATGTTATGGATCATAGTTATGACATTTAAGTTAGTTATTTACATAGCGAAAAATTGTGTGGTAAAATATATGGAACCATGTTTGGACGTTAATTGTGACACACCTCCCCCATTTAAAGAAGTACGAAATACTTTTACAGCTCAACAATTAACGTTCGAAGTAAAAGTATTTTGATATATAGTATATACATTTTTTTTTACTTTTTCGATTGAGATAAAATAATTAAAAGCACTGTTCTAATTATATACTTGCTACTGACTGTCACTGATTTACTAGTACTGCTGTCTACTCAGATAATCAGCTCCGACGTTTTCTGCAATAATGCGAAATCTATAGGGCTGAAGAAGAAGTGCCTTGATCTTACAAGCTTAGTCCTATTAAGGTAGACCAATGGATGATGATCTGTCTCCAACACGAACTCTTTTCCATAGAGATATCGATGGAGTTTTTGAACCGCCCATACAATACCAAGACATTCCTTCTCAATGGTAGCATAGTGTTCCTCACTCGGTTTCAACTTCCGGCTTGCATAAGCTACAGGTAACTTAA